GAAGAAGAAGAAGAAGAAGAAGAAGAAGAAGAAGAAGAAGAAGAAGACGTGTCTTCAGAGGTTTTTGTGTTGTTTCTTTCAGTAGTTCTTGGTGCAGCGCCACCACAGGTGAGCGGGGGAACAGGTTGGTTCAACAGGTTGGTTCAACAGGTTGGTTCAACAGGTTGGATCAACAGGTTGGTTCAACAGGTTGGTTCAACAGGTTGGTTCAACAGGTTGGTTCAACAGGTTGGATCAACAGGATGGATCAACAGGTTGGTTCAACAGGTTGGTTTAACAGGTTGGTTCAACAGGTTGGTTCAACAGGTTGGATCAACAGGATGGATCAACAGGTTGGTTTAACAGGTTGTTCAACAGGTTGACTCGACTGCACAGTGCAGTGTGAATGCAAACTCACCAGCTCAAATGTAACAAAAGGTCATGAATATTGGTCCCGAACTGAACTGAGTCTACCGGACTATCTGGTGTGAAAACGACCTTACAGACTGGTTGACATGAGTTAGCTGCTCTGTTTACTGTCTGCCACTCACTCTACAGACTCACTCATGTTTCTACCCTGACCAGAAGAACCTGGACAATACTAATCCTCCCTCTTACAGCAGCAGACCCACCACACACTTCACTACAGTCCGACTTCATGTCAGCTTTAATCAGAGTCACTGGAAGACCTTCTCAATAACTGAGAGCAGGAGGCTGGAGTCAATTCCAACATCAACACAGTGATGTTCTGTTCAGTGAAAATGTTGGTGAACGCAGACTGTTTAAACTTTGATCACTGATGAAAAAGTCTCACCACCATCAAAAACATGAAGAGTTATGAAGTCATAATCATCAGCAGCTGTCAATCAATTTTGTACAGTTCCATCCATCCATTTTCTTTACCCGCTTCTTCCATTTTGGGTCACGGGGGTCGCCGGTGTCCATGTCCAGCAATCACTGTGTGAGGGGCGGGGTACACCCTGGACAGGTCTCCAGTCCATCACAGGGCCACATAGAGACAAACGAGACAAACAACCATTCACTCTCTCACCTAGGGACAATTTAGAGTCACCAATCAGTCTAACATGCATGTTTTTGGACTGTGGGAGGAAACCGGAGTACCTGGAGAAACTCCACACATGCATGGAGAGAACATGCAAACTCCACCCAGGAAGCGCCCCTGATTGGGATTTGAACCAGGCTCGCTGAGAGGCAGCAGCTCTACCAACTGCGCCACCATGCTGCCCTTAATTTAATTCAATTTATATATTATATATAATCACAACAGACGTTGTCTCAGGGCACTGAACAGAAACATTCACACACATAGAAATGCCATTTAGTACAGTGAGATAAACATTTTCAGAATCTAATAAAGAAAATCTACAAAAGTTAAATCTGGTCCGCTGGACTAGAGGATGTCATTTTTTCGGGAGTACCGCTGGTCACGTGATTCCGGCCGAATTCCGGCAGGACCAAAGTCAACCTCATTATAACTCACATGACCGGGACGTGACCGAACTGAAAGCTAACGGGAGCAGACAGGAGCGAAAACTGACCAATAACCAAAAATGAAAATGAAACAAACAAACAAAAAAAAAAACACGGGCGCAGCTATTTTGTAGTTTTCTTTCAGTAAGCCTTCACTTTAACACAAGTTAAAAGGACTACATTTCCCAGGAGTCAAGTGTTCGAGTCGTAGCTTTTCACCGAGAGGGGGAGGAGCAGCGAGTGAAGCGGTACTGAGTAACTGAAAACAGTTTGCAACTCAAGGTAAGAAGTAAGTGTCTGTCTATTAAAGTCACAGAACAGGCAGGAAAGAGTCAAACAACCTGAACTTCATGAGAGTTGTGTTGGTGCTGTGCTGATTTAAACTTTAGTCTCAGCTGTGAGGAGCTGCGGGGAGTCGGACTTTGTAAATGAACAGACTCAAGCAGCGCATTTTTCTCCTCCTTGTCCCTTTTAATTTAAAAATGATGCTCTGCTTTGTTATGTGGGTTTTTAGTTTAAAATCTTCATTATCTGTCGCTGCTTGTAATGTCAAAAAACAACCGAACTCTTCCTGGTTAAAGTGCACGCATTCTCCGGTAAAAATATCCCAGTTTTTATATGAAAGGCTGGTTACACATACATTATAATAACTGTTATTGTAGGGAGGGCATATTGGTGCGAGGCCTGTGGGTCCTCCCCATAACTTTTTGTATAAAGCAGCTGCTATTTCCTGCATTCTGGTGTATTTTAACAGGTTTAATCATTTATGTTTACCTACATAAGTAAATACTTTATTCAATGACTGTTTTATAAAGCATGGCACAAGAAGTAGCACTAAGCTTTTTGTTTGTCTTTAATTTAATTTAATTTTTCTACCTAACACAGGAAGCTGTTAGCTCTGGAAGCAAACTGTTAAACAGCTTTGGACACAAAGACTCTTGTCCCACACTTCAACAGAGCAGGTAAGATACATAACATCTTGTAATCTCTGCCTGTGAGGCTGTTTAATTATAAAATATGATAAGTGAAATAAATAAAAATTAAGCTTCTGTAATTTATATTTGCAAAGGTCACATTTTCTTGACTTAATTTAAATTGTAAATCTCTTGTTTTTGATCAAATATTTTTTCCAAAAGAAAGACCAACAGATTGTAATTTGTAGTCACTGTGACACTATTTTGACTCGTGCACGTCTTCTGTCACTTTTAGGTTCCACAAGGCTCTGGACTGGTCCAGCTGTGGAGAGATGAGGTGGAACACCAGACCTGCAATGGTCCAGTCTGTAAATGAAGCTCTGAAGTCTGGGAAGATGCACGACATCATGCTTCACCCAAACGAGCTCGTTACCTCGACCACATACACTGAACTTCTGGAGGACGTCGTCCAATGTAGAATAATTTAAACATTTTTATTTGTTGACTTCTCTGCTTGGTACATTATTTTTATTTGTTTGTTTGTTTAAACAATTTAAAACACGACAGTGATGTCACTGTTTAAAGGAAACAATTGCTCAATAAATTAGTAAAATGCAACTTGTTATGTTTGGGTTCTTTCATCTAAGGTAGACATGGTGTGACCCATGGACTGGTTTAGATTTTTTGTTTTTACTGGAACTGACCTTCAAAAGAGCCAGAAACAGACTCATCAGCTGATCCTCCGTAGAAACATTATATAGACTACAGGCCATGGATTATTTGTTTTATGACATTTAGTGAAGGTTTTTGTTTGGATTAAGGAAATAAATGTCTCTATTTCACCACAGATGAACTGTTCCTGTTGTCATATCTTTGAAATAAAACTGAACAACACAAAGTAATTTAAACAGGAATGGGTAGAAGATCAAATCAAATTCAATGTATTTCCTAAAAATTAAATGAGAAACAGGAGCAGGAGTCATGTTACCAGGAGTGGGACAGGACAGGATTAATTTTTTTACTCTGGACCAGGATTGGGACAGGACAGGATTTTTTCTGTGGTACCAGGACAGGACAGGAGTGAAAATCCACTCATGTGTCATCCTCTAATCTGGACATTCAATAAAAACAAAACAAAAAAATGTAGAAACGTTTCATCTTTCATCCAGAAGACTTCTTCAGTCTGAGGAGCTGCAACAAACTCAGCCTTATAAATAGCACCTTCTCAGAGTGGATCAACCAGTTTGCTGCTGACAACCAGAACCAGCTGATCACATGCTCAAGAAGGACCATCAGCCTAACAATGGATCATTAGCACCTGATGGCTGTTTACTGTTCACAGAGGGCTGAGTGATACTAGCAATCACAGCATTGTAAGAGGGGGACAGTTGAACCTGGAGGCTCCACCCCTGTTTAATGATGGACGGTTTCTTTTCACAAAGATGGCCTCCTTTACTCCTCTCTCAAACCATCGTTCCTCTCTGTCCAGGATGTGAACATCTTCATCCTTGAAAGAGTGACCTCTGGCCTGGAGATGAGTGTAGACCACAGAGTCCTGGCCTGATGATGATGATCTTCTGTGCTGGTCCATCCTTTTGGCCAGTGGCTGTTTAGTTTCCCCGATGTAAGACTGATCACCCTCCTGACACTGAACAACATACACAATATTGCTCTGTTTGTGCCGGGGGACTGGATCTTTGGGATGAACCAGTCTTTAATGTATTTTGGGGTTTGTTGGCGTTGTAGGAGGTTTTAAAGCTCTGGATCTACGTCCGAATGTTATTAATGCGCCAGCTTTAAAGTAATTGAGCCCCTCTAGGACATCCCATCACGTCAACACTTCAGTCAAAAAGTTGTAGCAGCACTTTATGAAAAAGCTAAAACTGATTGTCAACAAGCCCTGGACCAGATTAAAGCGCTGCCCTGATGATGATGATGATGAACAAGAGAATATTCAACAGAAATGATGACCGTGCAAGAAGAGGTATTGTTATTGTATTATTGTGATGTAATTAACTTTTTAATTTAAATTTATAATCTTATTAACTCGTTTTTTTCTGAGGATGTCAACGAGATAGAGCTGAGTCTTCTTCATCCACCAGATCACCTCCAGCTAAGAAGTTTGTCATGACTGAACTTGTTTACTTGGCATATTTTCAAAATAAATGTTTTGTAAGTCTTTATTTTGGCCTTTTTTGTACCAAGAATCAACCGAACTGAGCCCTCCTTGAAACCGAACCGAAATGTGATTTCAGCGTACCGTTACACCTCTAGTGGATAACTTACATCCCATGTATTGAATCTGGACTGTGCAGATGTACTGATGCAAATGCTGCTTGTAAAAAATACAGAAAAAGCACAACATAACTTACAAAGTTGTGATTATTTTACGAGCTTAATGCCTGATTTGAATTGAACTGCATCTTTAATAGGAATCTGTCAGTAGAATCAGGGTTCCAAAGCTTGGAACTGCACCCTCTCCAGTTCTGAAATGAGAAAGCTCCATGGATGGGAAGCTAAACATTACAGAACAGAGGTCCAGTTGCTTAGTTTTGGTTTGTTTTTGGACTTAACTTGTTAGGTTTAATGTGATGCTACAAGAACCACGCATAACCTTCAACAGCTTTTAATCTATGTGTGTACAGAAATAGTAATCTTTATGCAGTATTTAGCTGATTATTATATTCTTGTTACAGTCGGTAACTAAAAGAGTGAATGCATGTACAACCTGAACACATCTGCATGGAAACTGTGACAATTAAGATGAAAATATTGAGCAAAGAGAGAAAGTGTTCCAGTATCTGCAGCTCTGCATCACTGTCTCCATCCACTTACCATCATTATTGATGATGTGGAGGAGCAGCTTCAGGTAGTTCTGGGTCTGCTCCACAAGGTCCCATGACTGAAAAACAAACACAAACTTTGATCACACGTAGGACATCTGTGGCTGAGTAGTTACAGGTCCTTCTAAAAAAAATTAGCATATTGTGATAAAGGTCATCATTTTCCATAATGTAATGATAAAAATGAAACTTTCATATATTTCAGATTCATTGCACACCAACTGAAATATTTCAGGTCTTTAATTGTTTTAATACTGATGATTATGGCATACAGCTCATGAAAACCCAAAATGCCTGTCCCAAAAAATGAGCATATCATGAAAAGGTTCTCTAAACAAGCTATTAACCTAACCATCTGAATCAACAACGTAACTCTAAACACCTGCAAAAGATTCCTGAGGCTTTTAAAAACTCCCAGCCTTGCTCATTACTCAAAACCGCAATCATGGGTAAGACTGCCGACCTGACTGCTGTCCAGAAGGCCATCATTGACACCCTCAAGCAAGAGGGTAAGACACAGAAAGAAATTGCTGAACCAATAGTCTGTTCCCAGAGTGTTTTATCAAGGCACCTCAGTGGGAAGTCTGTGGGAAGGGAAAAGTGTGGCAGAAAACGCTGCACAACGAGAAGAGGTGACCGGACCCTGAGGAGGATTGTGGAGAAGGGCCGATTCCAGACCTTGGGGGACCTGCGGAAGCAGTGGACTGAGTCTGGAGTAGAAACATCCAGAGCCACCGTGCACAGGCGTGTGCAGGAAATGGGCTACAGGTGCCACATTCCCCAGGTCAAGCCACTCTTGAACAAGAGACTGCGTCAGAAGCATCTCGCCTGGGACTGCTGCTGAGTGGTCCAAAGTTATGTTCTCTGATTACAGTCAATTTTACATTTCCTTTGGAAATCAAGGTCCCAGAGTCTGGAGGAAGAGAGGAGACACAGAGTTCACATTGCTTGAGGTCCAGTGTCAAGTTTCCACAGTCACTGGGGTGCCATGTCAGCTGCTGGTGTTGGTCCACTGTGTTTTATCAAGCGCAGGGTCAATGCAGCTATCAGGAGATTTTGGAGCACTTCATGCTTCCATCTGCTGAAAAGCTTTATGGAGATGAAGATTTCATTTTTCAGCACGACCTGGCACCTGCTCACAGTGCCAAAACCACTGGTAACTGGTTTACTGACCATGGTATTACTGTGCTCAATTGGCCTGCCAACTCTCCTGACCTGAACCCCATAGAGAACCTGTGGGATATTGTGAAGAGAAAGTTGAGAGAACAAGACCCAACACTCTGGATGAGCTTAAGGCCGCTATCGAAGCATCCTGGGCCTCCAGAACACCTCAGCAGTGCCACAGGCTGATTGCCTCCATGCCACGCCGCATTGAAGCAGTCATTCATGCAAAAGGATTCCCGACCAAGTATTGAGTGCATAACTGAACATGATTATTTGAAGGTTGGCGTTTTTTGTATTAAAAACACTTGTCTTTCATTGGTGGGATGAAATATGCTAATTTTTTGGGACAGGCATTTTGTGTTTTCATGAGCTGTATGTCATAATCATCAGTATTAAAACAATTAAAGACCTGAAATATTTCAGTTGGTGTGCAATGAATCTGAAATATATGAAAGTTTCATTTTTATCATTACATTATGGAAAATAATGACCTTTATCACAATATGCTCATTTTTTGAGAAGGACCTGTACAGGAGTTGTCCTCTAATACAAGAGTTGGGGGTTTGATTCCACTGGCAGTCACATGCCAAGGTGTCCCTGGTTAAAACAGTGAACCCCCATTGCCTGCCATGTGTGTCCCATCAGTGTATGAATGTGATAAGAGCATTGATTATTCTTTGTATTGATATACAGACCTTTTCCAAAAAATTTGAATGTCATGGAAAAGTTGTTTAACTTCCGTAATTCCATTCAAAAAGTTGATCTTTAAATAGATAATAGATTCAGGGTCCACAATTTAAATGATTTTAAATATTTATTTGTTTATTTTTACATAATTTGTGCTTTGTACTGAATATATACAGTGTTGTGCTAACAATAGGTGGCACTGCAGAGAACCACCCAGGAACACATCTTACAGCAGAAAACAAAACAAAAAGAGAGATGACCTGGTACTGAGTCCAGTCGATGTTCAAGTTCTGAGTAAAGCACGATGGGATTGTCAAAGGAGCATCCACGTAGTCCTGTGAGTGCAGGCACAAAACCATCAGAAAAATCACCTCTCGTCAGAACCTGAGCAGCCTGAGAGCTTAAAGTCCATACCTGCTTCCAGTTGAACACTAGACCCTCAGCGGTGTAGTCTCGGTCCTTGTATTCTTTAAAAAACTCACAGCCTGGAAGGAGAAAAAAGATTTCACACACATCTGGAAACAAACAAAAAGGTAATGTGACACACTGATACAAAAACAGTTTAAGTCAACACAAGGCGGCTGAGACGAGCTGGTCTGGAAGCTCAGTCCTCACCTCCTTCTACATTTGTGCAGTGGAGAGCATCCTGTGCTCCAGCATCAACATGTGGCATGAAGGCTGCACAGAAGATGTTGGAGTCAGTCTCCCCACCATCACAGACAGGAAGAGGGCCACCTGCATCATGAAGGACCTCACTCACCCAGCACACACTTTTTGTCCTGCTCCCCTCAGGAAGGAGGTTGAGGAGCATTAAGTGTAGAACCACTAGACTGAGGAACAGCTTCTACCCTGAGGCTGTTAGACTCATGAATTTCTAACCAGAATAATCACTGTGAAAAAAAATCACATCATGTTGCTGCTGATCTGTTTCATGTTGCTGCTGATCTGTTTCAATGTTGATGTGTTCATTCTTACTCATCTGCTCACACAGACTCATGTTTGTGCTGTTGTTCGGCGTATTGTTTTTGTACTACTAGTGCTTAGACTATTTTTAGTTGACGTTCTTCTTAGTTCATATCTTAGATCTTATTGCGGTTTTTATTTTACATTTTATACTTTTAATGGATATAACTGGGCCCATGTGTGCACAATTTCGTTCCACCACATGTACTACATGTAGTGTGTAGGACAAATAAAGAACCTTGAATCCTTCATGTAAAAGACTGTAAACATCACCCACTCATCCATTTACTGCCTTCTCTGTGATAACAGTTCGTGGAGGGAACCCCAGGTTTAATTTTCTCCAGCTCCTCCTGGGGACCCAAAAGTGTCCAGACCAGAAAGTATACATATTAATTTCAGACAGTTCTGGGTCTGCCCTGGAATCTCCCCCAAGGGGAAATGGCCCAGGAAATTTTAAAAGAAAGGCGCCTAGGAGTCAAGTCAAGTCAAGTCATATTTATTTATAGAGCACAATTTAAAACAGATAGACTGTTATCAAAGTGCTTAACACTAAGGGTAACACAGAAATAAAAAGCAGTAAGAATATACCTTAAAAAATTAAAACAACAGCATTAAAATGAAGATGTGGAACAAGATATACTAAATCAACTCACAGGAATCATAAAGCCTAAACCACGAATATTCATCCATCCATCCATCCATCAATTATCTTTTACCCGCATCTTCCATTTTGGGTCACGGGGGTCCCCGGTGCCCATGTCCAGCAATTACTATGCGAGGGGCGGGGGACACCCTGGACAGGTCGCAAGTTCATCACTGGGCCACATAGAGACAAACGAGACAAACAACCATTCACTCTCTCACTCACACCTAGGGACAATTTAGAGTTACCAATCAGCCTAACATGCATGTTTTTGGTCTGTGGGAGGAAACTGGAGTACCCGGAGAAAACCCACACATGCATGGAGAGAACATGTAAACTCCACCCAGAAAGGCCACCGGACCGGGATTTGAACCGGGGACCTGCTCACTGAGAGGCAGCAGCTCTACCAGCTGCGCCACCGTGCTGCCTAGGGGTATTCAATTATAATTTAAAGAGGTCCAGTCAGACAAAATTTCATGAGGCCAAGGTCTGGAAGTCCAACTATTTAATATCATGGAAAAGTTGTTTAACTTCCGTAATTCCATTCAAAAGTTAATTTTTAATAGATGATAGATTCAGGGCCCACAATTTAAATTATTTCAAGTATTTATTTGTTTATTTTTACATAATTTGGGCTTCCAGCTCATGAAACTCACAAAAACAGGATTTCAAAAAAATAGAATACTGTGAAGACATCAGTCCACACTACTTCTGTAAGGATGGTACCATTTGGTGGACTCTGTTTGTGTCTGTGTTTCCCTTGTGTGTTCTCTTCAGTTTAATTGGTGTCACCCTTGTCTCGTCACAGCTGTTTGTAATCACGTCTCGTTTTGTCCTTGTATAAAAGCTGTCTTTTCTGTCTTGTTCCTCGTCGCGTCGTATTCGTTGGGTATCTCGTGTTCTCCTGCGTCTCCTGAGTTGTCCTGAGCTTCCTGAGTCCCTTCTGAGTTTCCCTCCTGAGTCTTCTGGTTTATGTAAGTGTTGCTGCCACGTCAGCTTATTGTTTTGTTACTTCTTTATTCGTCATTAAAGTATTTAGTTTTTTTAATCTGCCGAGTTGAGTCCTGTCTGCACTACTGGGTTCGTTCCTGTCCACCAAACCCTGACAACTTCTCAGTTAAAAAAGAAAGAAAGAAATTAGGATCACAACAAATCAATCAAAATATGGTACTTTCAAAACGATATGTCAGTCTTTAACACTTGGTTGTGAATCTCTTTGCCTTAATCTCTGCCTCGATGCGACGAATACAAAGTATTGTATAAATTCTTCGTCCATAAGCAGTGAGGTATTTAATCTCCAGTTTATACTTTTTGAGATTTCATTCTTATTATCTAAATTTAAAGTAACTGGTGCATGATCGCTGACAGCAATAGGGTGTATCTTAGTGTCTGAAATGTTGGTCAGCAATGAGTTGCTGATTATAAAATAATCCAAACGAGAGTAAGAGTGATGCACATGTGAAAAGAAAGAATACTCTTTACTATTAGGGTGAAGAGACCGCCATGCATCGCAGAGTCCATAATCACTCATGTACTGTTTAACTACATTTTTGGATTGCCAACTGCGTTGAGCTCCTACTGCATTCAGCCTGTCTATTTTGTTATCTAGACCAAAGTTAAGATCACCTCCCAGTACCAGCGAGCAATCCATGTGATTTGATAGAGTAGAGAAGAGATCATGAAAAAAAGCAGCATCGTCCACGTTTGGCCCATATAAACTAACAATACAATATTTTTGACTGAGTATGGATAATTTTAATATTATATATCTACCTTGCGGGTCCATAACTGTGTCTAATATTGTGAAGTTCACATTTTTATGTATTAATATTGCTACTCCTCTCTGTCTTGAGTTATAGCAGGCTGAGAATACATCAGGAAACTCAGGAGATTTGAGCTCATCCACAGTTGACGGTAATTTATGAATTTCTTGGAAAGTGGCTGACTTGCTCTTTAAAAAGTCTGATTCTAATGAAGTATATTCATTCAACCTTTAATAACCTTTATTAACAAAGCTGTTAGAAAGCTCACATTGTTGTGTAGTTGGCTTGTTTAGTGAGCTTGGTTCTGTTTGATTACGGCTACTTTCTGAATGTAAAAGTTCCTATGCTCTTGAATGCACCGCTCTGTGTAAACAAAGTTTTGAGCTGCGTGTCAGTTTTTTCCCTCTCCCGACACAAGATGGAGCCTTGCAGCTTTGTTGAAGCAGCCGTTTTGGCATTTTGGGTTTTCATGAGCTGTATGCCATAATCATCAGTATTAAAACAATTAAAGACCTGAAATATTTCAGTTGGTGTGCAATGAATCTGAAATATATGAAAGTTTCATTTTTATCATTACATTATGGAAAATAATGACCTTTATCACAATATGCTCATTTTTTGAGAAGGACCTGTATATTCCATCAGTCGAGGTTCTGAAAGCACTGTAAGCCGCCTTGTTGATAGAAATATAGCGTCTGTCCACGCGTGTATGTGCGCATGTGGTTTAACACAAAGCCTCAGCGGGAGATGTTTACATTATCAGCGGGGTGTCAGTGAAAAACCTCCACTCTGGAAGGGGGGTTCAGAAATGTTGGTTACGTACTGTAACCCCAGATTCTATGAGTATAGGCGTAGCCCTTTAAGAGCTGTCGCTTAGTGGGTTTCATCCCGTCATGCGAAGCATCACACTGAAAAATTTAGTCCATGCCCACCCGGTCCATATAAATTACGTTAAGAGCGGGTAATCGGCTCCCAAATAGTTTTTCTTCAGCCACTTAGGAGCCAGTGAGGCCTGACGCTTAAAGGGCTACGCCTATACTCATAGAATCTGGGGTTACAGTACGTAACCAACATTCTATTTTGTATAGGCTTCGCCCTTTAAGGCTGTCGCTTAGTGGGTTAAGGGCGAAGCAGATGTGGTCCTCGCCTCACTGGGTCCATTTGAACACCGTATGAAGCAGAAGCTTGCCCAAAAAACGTCTTGTCACTCAGCTCCCCATGTTCGTAATTACGCATTGTGTAATTATGTGTACCATGCACAGACGCATGTTGTATAAATATGCGTTCTGAATGCATGAACGCCCCGGAAACTTTCAACGGGGAAGGAAGATGTTGGGAAGGGGGGCCATGAAACAACTGATTCATGGCTGAACAGTATGAACAGATTAATAATAACAAATGAACTGATTATAATCAAATGAACTGATTGGTAACAATAGTCATGAACTGATTAATGACATTAGAACCAAAATAACAATCACAACTTGTGGCTGATAACAACATCTCACACTGTAATGCATGCAGACAGATGTGAGTTAAACGGAGTTCCATGAAACAACAATATTCATTCTGTTAAAACACTAAGGACAGAATGTGTCATGGAACAAGCCGTCACATTACGTAGATGAAAGTGAATGAATGAGCAGGGTGTTGACCACTCGGCCGCAGTGCAAATGTCCTGCATTGTCGTACCATAATGCAAAGCAGTCGTAGATGCGATACCTCTGGTCGAGTGCACCCTGAGGTTGACAGGAGGCTCTAAATCTGATGCTCTGTAGGCTTCAGAAATGGCCTCACACAACCAGTGTGACAGGTGTTGGGTGGATAACGGGCGGCCTGCAGATGCATCTCTATAACGCACAAACATGTTAAGTTTGACGCATTGCAGCTGTGAGCGCTATGCAACACGTCAACGCCTGCACAGGACAGAGAAGATGGAAAGATGCTTCTTCTTCTGATTGTGTGTGTGTGGGGGGGGGAGTGGAAAAACCCCTCCAACGATATCACTTTGAATTTAAAAAGCTCGTGATGTTTTAGGCATAAAAACTGGATTCAGTCTTAGATCAGCTGAGCTGCCATCAGTCTGAGTTCCAAGACACGACGGAGCGACAGAGAA